ATGTGGAGATGTTATATTGGTTTCACTGGTAAAAATAAATAATTGAAATGGGTATATATTTGTTTTTTGTTAAGTTGCCTAATAATTATGCACAGTAATATAGTCACCTGCACACACAGATATCCCCCTAAAATAGCTAAAACTAAAAACAAACTACAAACTACTTCCACAAACAACCAGTAAACACTGAGCTACAAACCAGCGAACAACCAGTAAACACTGACATACAAACCAGCGAACAACCAGTAAACACTGAACTCCAAACCAGCTAACAACCAGTAAACACTGAGCTACAAACCAGCGAACAACCAGTAAACGCTGACATTAGGGCTGCCACAAACGATTATTTTGATAGTCGACTGGTCAGATCATGCATCCATTAGACATAAATTGTACAGCTGATTACAACCAGCATGCATCTGCTCTTATATAACTATCATTAGCTGACAGCTCGAAGTGTTTAAGGTGCTAACTAACAATAAAGAGCAGATGATAGTTTATTAAACTTTTAATAAAATTTCCAGATTGTCTCGGTGGAGTTTAATAAACTCGGCCGTCTGCTCCTTGCTATCTAAAATATAACAGGACACTGGAGTAAACTCTCGACCGTCTCACACTACTGTTTAATCAGTTTTCCGTTTGACGTTTATTCAGCTGTGTGAACACAAAGGAGGAACCCACTCGATGGATTAATAAAGTTTTATTTTATCTAATCTAATAACTTTAATCTCAGGCAAACCGATTTACTCACAAACAAAACTGAAAAAAGTCAAACAATAACATTTTTAGGTTATCTAAGTGACTTATATATCATGTTTAACCTAAGTAGCGAAAGACTGTGGTGATCTGAAAATGATGTGCCGGGAGTTAAAAGTTTATTTTGTGACCAAGAAAGAGTAATAAGTGTACTATTAAAGCTAAGCAGCGGCCGCCATTGTTGGAAACTTGAATTGTCTGAGCTGCGCTATGAATCCTGGGATCCTGGGGAAAAGGAGGATGCATTTGCAGCAGTCTTTGAATTTGGACAGTCTTCGTCACGTCGCTGTAACGTAATCAGCCTACAAATGCGGCCTCCGAAGGATGTGGCCCCTGAATTTGGACCGGAGGTTCCTTCTTCT